TGAGGCAAGCTGCAAAGACAATATCATAGCAGCAGAGATTGAAGCAGTCAGGTTGCTGCAGGAGTAGCCTTAGGCAGTAGCAGCGTCTTTCTTCTTAATGTTTGACAAAGGCAGGATCCACCCTGGTGCTTGCACGTGCGCCCAGGCTACGACAGCGGTGTGGACAGCGACGGCGAGGAGGCCTTTGCAGTGAAATCTTTCCCTCGGGCTCATGGGATTCTTTACATCTTTGGGCGGTAAGGCAGGGGACTCTGTGATTTGCTTGGGATTCCTAGGCTTGATTGCAGGAAGTGCCCCCAATCGAGCCAGTGTGAGACGCAGACCGTGAAGCTGCAAAGAATGAGCACAACTCAAAATCGGCGTGCTTCAGCACTTGACTTTAACCACTTCTCGCAACAACAAAGCATAGAGCATGTGGCCATGCCAGGCAGAGCGCCAGAAGCAGCTCAAGAAACTGGAGGAGGCAGTGCATCAAAATGGTCATCACAAGGGCGACCCTGTCCCCGCTGCCATGGCCCTTGCACTGCCCTTCCCGCCACGACAGCAGCCAGTACTGTACCAGTGTCGCTGCCACCATTGCTACGTTTGCCCCCTGCCGTGATACTGAATGTGGAAGCCTGCTCAGCTTCAGCCTCATCTTTGGAACAAGTCCAACGAGAGTTTCCTCCATCAAGTCCAGGCCGTCCGAAGTGGCCGCAGTGAGCAGGAGCTCTGGCACTAGAACTGACAGAATGGCATAGGACTAGGTTACCTTTGCAAGTATTCAGCAGATTTCAAAGCTCCTATAGCTTTGGGGTGCAGGCCAAGGTGGGTTTGGATCTGATGCCGGGACTAGATCAGAGCAGCATCCGCTGTGTGTCGGATGCTCCATGCTGATCGGTTGCGCCCAAGGGAAAAGGATCACTTTCGAGCGCAAAACTTGAACCTCAGCTCGTGGACTCTAGCAGTCCATGTGCGACAGGAATAAGACATGGTGCGCTTGCTCGCTCACTTAGAACTCCCTCGCAGGAGCGGCAGAAGGCAGAATCGAGGCGTGAGCGAGCCAGGCACGGGGAGAAACCAAGGGAGTTTGGGAGGGACCCCTGTTCTGGCAACTGCATCGTTTTGGAGGATGATGTAAGAACATGTTGTGGTCAGGCTTCCGGATTTCGTGCCTCCCGTCTTGCACTTCTTGCGACACCCGCCTCTACTGTCTGCAAGCGCACACGTCTGGTCAATGTTTGCAAGCCCACAATCAATAGCATCTAGTCAGCACACAATTCAAATTAATCGTCTTCTCGCCTAAGCAGGCAAGTGGTTTGCCATCACGTTGCATCTGCTGCTCTGTCTTGGGGCTTCGGGATGGGTGAGGGCTCTACAGTGTTGCATCGGGTCCTGAAGGGCTTTGCAGCCCATTCTTCTGGACGCGTGGGAAGGCTGCTAGATGCGAGCAGAATGTATTATGCTTTTTGCATAGGCCGGCCTTCCATCATGACATGGTTGTGCAAGCAGGGCCAGGGACAGTGAAGTGAACTTAAGTGGCACCATGGAGCAGGCATTCTGGGGACACTTTGGGGCGAGCACTCCCATGGACACTCGGCCCACTCTGGGGTTGGGCTCGCGGTCCTAGCACTTGTTGAGGGATTTTGCCAATGCCAGTTGTTCATCATCGTAGTGAAATAAGCGGCATTATCCGCGCCAGCAGATGAGTGGCAGGAAGTCGGGATCTCTGTCACGGGAGATCGTGCGCTACGAGCCTCTCACAGAGTCCCCCCATCAGGCCGCTGGGCCGTGGTGGAGTAGGGACCCTAAGTCGTAAATCTTCTGCGTACTACTGTGCATCAACAAGACAGAGATTTTGTAAAGTGTTTGCTTGGAGTCGCAGTTTGTTGTCAGGCTGGGCCACGTGGCAAGGGCTTCAAGAGGTAAAGCCCTTAGGTCTATTCCAAGCATCAAAGCTCACTGCTCCCAATTCTGACGCCCAGCAGTTGGAGTCTCTGCGCAGCTTCTACGGCCTGCACAGCAGCTTCCCCACCGAGCGCCTGGCTCGCATCAGATGCTTCGCTCAACTGCATTTGTGCTTTGCTTGAAGTGCACGGGGCAGCCTGTCGGGGAAACGCCTACCAGAAGAGTTGGGGGCCGGTGGGCCCTTGATCAGGCAGTCCTACGTCTTGAATTGAATAGGTTACACTACAATAACCACTCCATTCCCGTGCCCTTCCCAATGCCAGCCCCTAAAGTTTTGAAGCCTGAGCGCATTCCGTGCCTCTCAGCACTTCATGCGCTGTCAGGCTCTTCTTCAGCCGGCGCCACCTGGAGCTGGATGCCACTGGAGAGCTGGTACAGACACACTTGGGCCGCTCGGTTTCTTACAGCGACTCGGGGTGCCAAATCCTTCTCAGCAGAGGCCTCGGAGAACTGCAAGGTGTGGCGAAGTAACTTGAGTTTCCAGGACTGTCTCCAAACTTTGTGATTAGGGCTCGTGTGGTGTTATGTTATGCATGTGAAGCGGGAAGGTCTTCAAAATGCTTTCAGCCGATGGCCTCTCAAAACAACCAAACTTCCAGGAAAATTGCTGAGGCGAAGCCAGCCAGCTGATCTTCTTGGCGCGAGGTGCTGCACGGCTGGTTCGCCTGGCTACCCTAGGCCAGAGGAAGCTGCGAATCATTGCAGGCCTGGCGAGGTTCCCGGAGCCCCTGGAGGATTCCCCTGTTGGTGGATCCTTTGAGTACTACATTGTTAGCGACTCATTTGTGGCCGAGTGCTGAGACTGCTCAAGCAGAGACTTTGCATGTAAGAGACTTTGAAAGTGAGTCACAAACTTCGGCTGCCTGCCAGATATGTGGAGTATTTAGACGCCTGCGCTTTCAGAAGACTACTCCCGGCATTATTGTATTGCCTTTCTGATGATTGTGCACTGGATGGACAGAGACTGATCATTTCTAGTTGTTCAGGCCACTGGAATATGCAGAGAGTATGCAGGTTTCATGCCGCAGGCGCAGGCGACGCTATCGGAACCCAAGCCAAAGCCGAAATTTCCGTGCGTTTTTTAGATTTGTTGATCCCTTTTTGTATTTGACCTCTTATTTCTGCCATCAGACTTTTGTATAGACATCGTGCAGTTGACCTCAAAGAATTCCTGCTTCACAACTCGGGCTAAATCATTGAAGATGCAGATGATACTGACCATCATCTTCATGAGAGTGATGCAGAGAAGACGATGCTGGCTAGCGTCGGTTCCTGCTGTATTCTCATTTCCCCTTCCCATGTCTTCTGGAGTTGTATATTCCAAGCAACATCCAAACAAGTCAACAAATAAGAATAGTTTCAGGATGGTTTGGCGTTATTTCGGACCTCATTTGAGGGTGGATGCATATGGAAGGGTTTTTCTGCCAATCCATGATTCATAGTCATCATGAGCTCAGTACTGCCGGTAACAAATAGGCTATCTTCTTCCGCACAATAAGGAAAACCCATGATGTATTTATCATGTTCCCATCTTACGGTAACTTAGATTACGTTCCTTCACGGCAACCGAGCTTCATCATCGTGATTTCCAAGTTGGCTGATGCGATCTAGGCGGCTTGCGGGTCTTTGAGAAGGACCGCTTCGATGTCCCGGACAAAGCCACGCAGTTCAGGTCGGATGAGCTTTCAAACAGCAAACTGTGAGATTCAGAAAGCCTAGATATGCCGAGATACTGTGTATGGAAGAAATATTGCACCACCTAACATACTGTATGTAAGTCCCAAAGCTTACAACATTTTTGTGCGCACAAATTCCTCCGCTGACAAAATGCCCGTCACAAAGTTGTGCTTCTGGGATGCTTGGAAAGTTTGACAGTGCTTCCTTTCGGACCAAGCTTTGTTTTTTGCAGTGCGGATATTTCTGGACTCTTCCAACTTCACATGGATGGGCAGGTTACACAGACGTAGTCGGCTCTTTCTATGTGCTGCCCCAGAAGTCAAGGACAGTTGGTACAATGTAAGAGTCTAAGACTTGACGTGTATTCAGTAAATACAAATCAACTTTTGCATCCTACCGACTGTGCTTGACTATGCAGCTGCGGGCTGTGCAAAAACGCAAAAGAGACTGAACGGCAAACTGGGAGGGAATCGCACGGCCAGTGCGGCACTTCATCATCTTCATCATGGAATGCATGATTCCGCATGAAATGTCTTGAACTTGTTTTGCATACCTTGAGTAGGCTGCCATTCTCTGCCTTCTTGGGGCTTTCAGGATGAGTCGACATTTGCTAATACTTTTTTGCCGCGGCTTCTTCCGAATTTGCTTGGCAAGGAAAAGAACGCTTTAATACCAGCGTCGCCGTGAAGCTATCTACCCTGCTGGTGCAATAAGTGTGCATCATGTGCGAAAATCCACGACCTGCATCTCCTTGTCTCTCCCTGCTCAGGTTCGCCCAAGAAGCTATCGAGCCGACGCCTGCCGCACATTTCTCACATTGTGTTGTTTTGAAGCTAATGTGCGAAGGACAGTTCCTTTCTTGGCATTCGTAGCGCTAAGCGACTTGACAGGACAGCTGTGTTTGCAAGGTGGCGGCAAGCATCAGACGGCAGCGTAGCAAAACTTGACGCAGTCATTCGCAGCTGTCTAAGCACGCCATGGGCCTGCTTCTTCGGCAGTGCTTCCAAAGTGTGAGTGAGTCACAACAAAGACGCAGCTGCAAAAGTCTGATCTATGGGTCAGGACAGGTGAGGACCCAAGATTGTCGCTGCCTAGACTGTCGGGCCTCGGTGCTGGTATGAAGTCACGCGAGGGGAGGTGTGTAGCCGGATTCCCCATGGCGTCTTGAGTCCCGTTTTCAGATCGTCATCGAGCAAATCTTCAGTACATGTCACGCTGCGTGCAGATGAAAAGGGCACATTTCGGGAGGCCCAGTGCACTGATGTAGTTTGCATTCTCGTCTCCATCATTAAGCCAGGAACTGGATGCTACAACATAGCATGTTCTTTTGATGCCGGGATCGTCAGTTGAGATTTGGAGAACGCGCCTTATTGAGGATGTTGCCCTATGTCGACCAGCGAGTGGTGGTACTGGAGGCGGGTAGCTTCCATGTTTCAATCTTGTGCCCAAGAAATCCCCAAAGCCTGTTTTTCAAGTGTTTCGTACTACCGAATGACCGTCAAATTTTGCTGTGGTTTGAAGCGCATGCCCAAAGTCACAAGGTCACCAAGAACTGCTATTCACAAAGAACATTAACATAGAGATCCCGAAATTTGAGGTGACACTCAATTTGATAGGCTAGTTCGATTTGGATAATTCTCTTGACCTGGCTGTGATGTTGCAGTGAAATGCACGTGTGCATGCTAGGACAAGTCGCTGCGGAATGTAC